ATTCACTGATAGCGTTTCAATATGGGCAAATAACAAGCAGACACCACTGTCTTTTTAGTCGTCTCAGTTTTCATCTCCTCGCATGCTATGCTGTGGTTTGGTAGCAGCACAGCGGTTGTTGTTGTGAAGTCGGATGCTCAGCCAGGGCAATCATGATGTTATCCATGGAAGTACATCTACTTCAAAACATGTACACCACACACGGCACAATGGCCAATGTAGAAAAGCAAAACTCTAACCTTTCTCTCTGTGCCGTGATATGCTTTTTCATGGTGTTTCCCTATAGCTGCAGGGACGTGGCGCTCATTGTGTGTTGGGGAGTATTCCCCTTGTCGTCTGTATGTCAGGTATCATTTACGTCACTCACCTTTACTAAAGGTAATCCTAGAAAGTTACAATGTCTTTGAGCATGGATTTATCTGGAAATCCTCATATGAGCACGATGACATCAGTCCGGAGCAATTGGATTTTATTTCACAATGTCCACAATAAAACCCTCAAGGTAATTGTGATATTATTTTTTACCCAGAATTCTGCACTTAACAGCACTCCCAATCCCAAAATTGATATTGCTGCAGTGGATTTGGCTAATATGATTTGGCTGTGCAACTGCAGCATGTAGGAAGAATAAGTTAGCCCTATAAAAGTCTTCTGTTTGCTGAATGGCTGGGAAAAGGTTGAGGCCAAAAAGAAAAAATGATAGAGGAGCGAGGTTTTACTGCCGAATAAAATTGGAATGGTGACTGGAATTCATCCAGGCAGATAGTCTCTTCTTTCAAAAATGGTTTAAACAGCTGAACCAGATCCCAGCACAATGTTGACCAGCCCAGTCCAGGGACCAGGACGTGTCAAGGTGAGCGGATCCACACAGGCCTAGTCTGAGCTCTGAGGCAGGACACCAGGGCTGCTGCGTCTCCCACCCCGGTCGTAATGCAGTCCCATGATACGTGTATAAAGACTAAAATCCAGCTATAAAGAGCTATAGTCGAACTATGAGGTCTCAACTCGCTAATGAAGGTACTTCATGTCTTTGTGTTGACTTTAAACCACTAAGTTGAATGCTTATCAAGTCTGAGATCTGACTCCGGCCTTAATTTCATCTTGTGACGAGATGTAAATATGAAACATTCATGTTTGTTAAACATACAACACTAAATCCGCTAATATCCTGAATATTGTAGGCAAAGCCAACAGATCAGCTTATGAGTATTTGCTTTTGTAACATAACCTAGATGAGAAGTTTGATACTACTCTGATACCATGACGCTACAGACAGGAAATGCATAGCTTAGCTTAGCATAAAGACTGGGAACCAAAGCAGACTGCTTGTCTGACTCCAAAAGATAAAACAAATCTAGTTTGCTTTTGCAAAACCTGAAGGAAGATCTTCAACTGAAAGATCTAGAAAGTCACCAGCTGAGAAACAGTCAATGGCCTCAAGTGAAAACACAATTTGTTTTTTTGCACTTTTTAACCTTTGGGCAGGGCCAGCGTAGCTTTTCTCCTGCGTCCAGTAAAGTAAAGTAAAATAAAAAATATATAAAGTAAAAACCTCCTGGCTCCAGCTTCATATTGAAGGCGACCTTATGTAACGTTTTCTGTATAGTCAGGTCCATCAATATTTGGACAGACACAATTTTCATAATTTTGATCTGACAATTTAAACTAAACTGACTTTTAGCTTTAACTTGAGGGTGTTTACATCCAAATCAGGTGAATGCTGTAGGAATCGTATTACATTTTAAATCTACCCCCCAAAGTAATTGGACAATTGGCCGCTCAGCTGTTCTATAGCCAGCTGTGTGTTATTCCCTCTTATTTCATTTACAAGGAGCCGATAAAAGGTTTAGAGTTTATTTCAAGTGTGGTATTTGTGTTTGGAATCCGTTGCTGTCAATTCTCAATAAGAAGTCCAAAGAGCTGTCACTATCAGTGGCGCAAGCCATCGAAACAAACCCATCTGAGACAGCAAAAACATTAGGTTGGCCCAAACTACTTAGTACATTCTCAAAAAGAAAGAACACACTGGTGAGGTCAGCAACACCAAAAGACCCAGAAGACCACGGGGGAAAAAATGGTGAATGGCAGAAGAATGATTTCCCCAGTGGAGAAAACCCCTTCACAGGAGCTGGCCAGATCAAGAAGCAGAGGTCAAAGTCAACAATCAAGAGAGGACTTCACCAGGGTAAATACAAAGGGTTCAGCACAAGATCTAAACCATTGGTGAGCCTCAAAAACAGGAAGACCGGGTTAGAGTTTGCCAAAAAACTTCTAAAAGAGCCTGTATAGACAACATCCTATGGAGCGATGAGACTGAGATGAACTTGTACCAGAATGAAGAGAATAGTATGGAGAATGGAAGGACCTGCTCATAATCCAAAGCACACCACCCCATGAGTGAAGCATTGTGGAAGAAGTGTGTTATTGTGTGGGCATGTATGGCTGCCAATGGAACTGGTTCCCCTGTATTTATTGATGATGTGACCGCTGACAAAAGCAGAAGGAAGGATTCAAGTGTTTCGGGCAATATTATCTGCTCATATTCAGCCAAATGCTTCAGAACTCATTGGACGGCACTTCACAGCGCAGATGGAGAATGTCCCAAAGCACACTGCAAAAGCAACCAAAGTTTTTAAAGCAAAGAAGTGGAATGTTCTGTCTGTCTAAATAAAGCGGAACGTCTGCACTTAAAGCACATCTTGATTGTTTCAAATTAATTGTGGTGGTGTACAGATCCAAAATGAAACGATGAGGGTGTAGGGTGTCACTGAGACCTGAGAATGACATGAGTACAGCGATGACTTTGACCTGAGACTGATGGTGTCAGACGATACGGCTGATGTATCAATGAGGTGCTGATGGACTGCAACGATTCTTCATGCACTTTGTGGAACATACTTATAATGTATGCTATGAGCCGGACTCTACTCTCATCTCAGGTTGGATGGATCGGACAAACTTGTCTGGCGTCCATTTAAATCAATAATTAATGAGGATACTACCGCAAGGGGAGAAGACAGAGAGAAAGGGTTCATTCATTCATTGCTGTCGTATGCATACGCACATTGTGGCGTAAAGCCCAGCAGCCCCGGTTTAGACAGCAAGCGGCGCTGGTTTGACCGGTGTGTATTTTGTGAGGTGCCTGTGATGATGAACAGTATAGCAGACAGTACGGTGCAGCCGTGCTGAACACTTTTAGACTGAGCACTGCGAAAATACGAAGATGACTTTGCGAGTAAGGCAGTAAGGCCTGCTTACTCTCACTCGCGATGCCTCAGTTGTCATTCTCGTAAACTTTAAACTACAAAAACAACCTGCCAACCGTCAACCTTTCAGGCCGTGCACCTGTGCGTGGGCACATGCGCTCGCATGCCACAGTGCACCCGGGAGCAGGTCTGCCTTCCACAATGGCACTAAGGTCCAGTCACATTTGTGCTGGCTATGAATGGTGATTCCCGGAGGGCCGAGCATTGAGGGCCTCAGACACCTGTAGGGGCTTAGCTGTGAGGGAAGACATTCGGCAGTGACACTGGGAGCTTATAGGACTAGGAAGCTGCTTTATACTGGTCCGGAAAACAAAACATCTGACAGATTCAGCAATCATCCGCATGGCTGAAATTCCTAGCCCAGACAAATAGGAGAAGTGCAACAGGTGATTCGACAGGAAAAAGGCTTTATTGCCATGAGAAATGGGCTAAAAGGGAATGAGTAGCCCAACATGATTTGCCTGAAACAACCAAGCGGATATGTGGACTACAAGGACTCGCTACTCAGCAAAGGCTTTAACTCACTGTTTTCTTATTATGAACGAATTGATCCATAACAGGAAGCACTGACAACACAGTCACGGTGCACCACCACCAGGGCGGTTTGGTCAGACAAACACATGTGTAAAGAGGTAGAGGATTGCTGGGCTACTTCAAGCACTGTAAGGTCAGTCACACACTAAGGGGAGGAGTTTTACTTTGAGGCTTTGTTGAAGGTCTTTTGAACTTCTGAACTCTATTTATTCCCCACGTCAATACGCAGGGATGCGGTAAGTCTCTAAAAAGGTAAATAAAGAAGCAGTCAAGCAGGGTTCAAGCTGACTCAACTGAGCTACATGTAAAATGATTCAAAAGGTAAACGAGCCTATACAAATATTTTAAAGATTAATGGCGCTTTACCCGCCAGATGACTCTGTTCCAAAGAGGATGCACCTGCAGTCTTCATCCATGTCCACTGCCATTAACCTATAAACACATCAGCTCTGGTGAAGACAAACATCTCTGTTGTTTATAGACCATCAGAAGAACCTGAAATAGTTTGCGGTCCAGATTGGATCACTAGTCACGACTGTGCTTGTGTGTTCGGATCCACAGACACACCCAACAAATCAGGGGGGCGGGGTTAAATAGTTCATGTTACCAGTCCCACCAGTTCCTGCTCTGACGAGTCAACATATGTATACCATAAGGTTTTGTTATGCAAAGGATTGTGGGTCAGAGAGCTCGAAAAGCAACCAGCTTGCATACTTTAAAATGTGAACCGAAGCAGGACAGCTTGGTAATTTTGACGTACTTGCATTCTGCCATACTAAATAGTATGGTAGCGTACCCATTGGAAGATGGGATGATGACTGCGCCTCACAGCGCTGCTAACCAAGATTTACATTATAGTTTCCAGATCAGCTACAACTAAATATCTTAACAATCTAAATTATATTTTGATTGCAATTCAAACCAGATTTCTTTAGTAAAACAGTACAGTTTAAATATTGTGGTACAGCTGAAACACCGGATTAGATGTTCTACTACCTTATCATTTGCAACACCTCCATCATTTCAGGTGTGGATTGCAAAAAGAAATGTCCCACACTAGCGGGGTTTCCAGGGGATACCGGAGTGTTGTTATTCCATTTTGAAACCATCCTCCATGCTCCATACATTCATTGTAATTTTAACAACCCCAAAGTTAAACTTGAGCACACCAATAAAAAAAAGTAAATGGGTCCACATGCATCCATGCCATTAGACTGAAAGTCTTTAATAACAAAAAAAGAAAACACCCCTCCGTACAAAAGTATCTGTACATGGTCGATTACTGAACTGCAAAAATGGAAATGATCGAACATAGTTCATCTTTTAGTTTAAATACAATATTTCCCAACAGTCAGCAAACCACAGTACTGGATCTGCAACACCAAGAGGGCTGTCGGTGGAGTCCAGCTTTGTCATGGTGGGAGATGCAAAGCAGCTGTCCATGTCAGGACCCAGACATTGATTACATCAGTCTAACGTTTTACAACATTAATGAGCGACATCCCATGTGAGTGGTGAACATAAAACATAAATGTTGATTTCCTCTGAAAACAAAGCGCACGCAATTTTTGCAGGACATAAATAAAGCAGTAATTAAACACCAGTGCAGGAGAGCATTCAGAACATGGACAAAAGAGATTGAGACACTTGCTGTTAACATGTCCAACAGAACACAGACACAGAATTACATTTTTCGTAACATTGACGTTAATATTGATAGCCTATGTTAAAACCAAAAAGAGAAAAATCCCCGACAAAATAGAGGACATAGAGATGGACAGAAAAACAATTGCACCGTATCCCTGCCATGTGCCGTGAGCTCCAACCTGCCACCTCACCGTCCTCTAAAGACCTGAAGGAGAAACCCGACTCCTGTGTGGACAATGGCGAGGTGGGTTGAGCCACGGCTAGCTGTGCCATGTTCAATGGTCATCGTTGGGACTGCTTGCCACCGATCAATGACGGTTTGGTGGTTTTATAATGTGAAGCCCCGATGCGCCTCGCCTACCGCCAACACACTGCCGCGGTCCCTGAATGAAGGCTCCACACATTTTACTTTTACTGAATGGTCCAAGGTGTAAGTACTGGGACAGTGGCCTCGTTGTACTTTGATAAAACTACTGGCTGCAAACATTTCAGAGGTGAGCGGCTGCTAAATTATAATCGACAAACGTCTCAAAAACCAAAACGCTGACGCAGCGAAACCTCTCTGTGGAATGATGTTATGAGGTTGCGCTGAGTTTGGATGTGAATCTTAAATTTAGGTGATGTTTTGCACAAAAAGTTAGGGGCAGTTATCGCAGTAAGGATTGGGGGAAAAAAGTGCGAGGGATGCACCTATGGTCACTAGTTATGGAACAACAAACTGCAATAACTGCCGCTAATTCCAAGAGGGCGCTTGTTGACACTTAAAATGTCTGAATAATGTTAAAAAATATATTATATACTGCCATCAAAAATAAAGGTAAAGTTTTCCATCCCATTACATGCACTTTAGACTATTTCATTTAAAAGGTTATTCTAGAATAGCTCATTTGATTTTTGATGCGGCAGTGAGCCGCCGTCCTCGTGTCCCTGCCTTTTGTTTGTCCAAAGCCCCTGTGGACGTTGTGTGCACACCTCCCTCTCTACTCAGGGGCTGCGCCTCATTTGTCAGAGTTCTTGCGCGGCCTGCGGAAGCTGGACATGTTCTCGTTTAGTGCATAGATTCGCCTGGAGAACTCCTCGAAGCCGGCGACGTCCAGCTCTCCCAGCACCTGCTCGTCACACTCCACGGCTACCGCGTGGTCCACGGGGATGCAGCGGTAGTCTTCCATCCGCGCCTCGCCAGCTAGCCCTATACCCAGGCCGCCCCCCAACCCCAGGGCTAAACCCGTGGCCTCAGTCCCCATGATCTCCTCGGCTTGCTCCACGGAGCAGAGCAGCTCTGGGGCCAGGCTGGGGGGCGCCTGCGGTGCGACCAAAGAACCGTTCATGGCAGCCGTGTGCTCGCTAGTTGGCACCGTTTCCTCCCCGCTTTCCTGAACTGTGAAGGAGTCAGGCACGCTGGTGCAGCTGGGCGGTCGCTCCTCTGTCTCTTCTTCTTTGTCTTCTTTGATCTCGAGGCTTCTGTGTCCCTCCGCCTCCACTGCAGTCTCCCCGCTCTCCCCCATCTCTTCCTTCTGCTCTCCCGCCTCGTTGGACGTCGTAGCCTTGGCCAGGTTGAGAGACGCCATGCCGGCATCGAGGGAGGAGGATAGGTGTTTGGGTGAAGGAGAGGGAGGGGGTGAGGCAAGGCCAATCGGGGGCTGCTCCTCCCCCATGGCAGTGTTGTAGCTCGGTGGAGGAGTGGGTTTGTACTTGTCGGCCTCCGAGCTCGCCCTTTTTCTCAGGCCTCGGCCTGGGGCGCTGGTGTGGCAGGGGAAGCCCATCTCTGAGGCAGCAGAGACACCGAGCTGAGACTTGGCCGGCACTGGGATGGAGCTCGACACGTGGTGTCTGTCACTGTGCAGAACAAGGACAAAGAGAAAGACGGTAAATATTCAGACTCCAGACACGTCTTAGTCGGTATTTGATTTATCACGGCCCGCAACAATCTCAACGGCGCCGCCTGAGGAGAAGCATGAGACACCCAGGCTCTGTTTGGACCTGGTCCTCCATTGACCTCATTTCTCCACCCAAGCACCCAACTCTGGCCCCGGGGTCCAGACTGAAGACAACTGCAGTACTTTGGAAATCACTCCAACTTACAACATTCACCAAACATTTGTGCATCCTGCGAGACTCACTTTCTGTCGACTGGAAATACTCAGCAGGCGTCCACCCAAGTATGTTAGACATTTTTCTCTTTAACAGATAACAGACACGGGATCTGGGGACACCTTGCTTGGCCCCAGTACAGGAGCCATAAATTTACTTGAATGGGGCCTTACCGTCTCGGCCGATTGGCTGGGGCCAAAATCACGGGGCTACTTAGCGCTCCACTTAACGGGACCATTCCACGGTGCCAGGAGCCGAGGCACTGTGCTGTTGGGGCAAATGTCAAGCAGGGCCTCCCCGTGTGCTCCAGAGATCACGTGTGACGACAGATCTCTGCTTCATCTAGTTGGACAGTCACAACAGATGTCCTTGTACCATTTCTCCTGCATATTGCTTATATGTAGATTGTTTATATGTAAACAATTGTACGTAAACATATTGTACATATGCAAACAATGTTTATATGCATTAATTTTATTTTTATATATTCATTGTGTACTAGTTCGCTGACTAATGAACAGTTTCACCACCAAACCGACTGCTTGTTAAAAGTGTCCTGACCTTGACCCTCAGCTGTGCTCTCCCGAGATGTTCGGGATAATTATTAGAGCCTGTGATACCTCGGTAACCAAGGAAACAACAACGCCAGCCAGATGTCACTCTAGGTCAGCATTAAGACGTTAAAAGCTATGACCTGATGCTGTGGGGTTGATTCCTATTCAGGGAGCAGATCAGGAGAATGACTGTGCTTTACTTGGCAGCGCATGTCCATCAAAACACATAATTTAATATTACTGGCTTTAGCTTGAGCTTCCCTCATAAAAAAACAGATTGGGTAGAAACATGTGATTCAGCCTTTTTGAAAAAAATGCATGTTTGGCAAACCGGAGACAACTTAAGTCTCAGAGAGTTTATGATTTCCCATAATCTATGAAAAGCTAATAAGTGACCAGTATTTATTTCAACTTAATCAAATGATGTAGCTTATGAAGGGATTGGGTCGGCTTTGATTTAAATTATTATCAACCATTTTTCCCCCACTAGAACTATTTTATACTCTAATATAATCCATGTGGTCTGACTGTAGCTGGCAATTTACAACACTGGCATTAAACTCACATGATCATCACCCCCAGTCGTTTGTATAATGAGGAACTTTGTATTTGGGCCTGTTTTATTTTGTTCCACTCAGTTTCTATGTTTGGCCTACATCTGAGTGCAACGGTGTGTGAGCAGCAGAGGAGACTGGGTGTCGGCGAGGACGTCGGCCAAGCAAACCTCTGGGCAGGCATAACATTTTTCTTCCCTCGAAACATTTGAACTATTATATCGATGACATGTATTTTTTTATGTGGGCAATAAGGGGACACACGTGAGGCCACTGTGTGCTTTTGTCAACTTTGGATCAGACTGAACTATGAAAATCCATTGGATGAATTGTTATTTGGCTTTAGAGTCATGCTCCAAACAGGATGAGTCCTACTATTGGGTTGGCGGCCTACTTTACCCTGTAGCATCACTAGTATTTTTTTTCTTAAATCTACTGAATGCATTGGAAAAACATTTGATGATGTTCACGGTTCAGGACAGGACAAATTAAAAAGATGATCCCCCGACTTCTCCTTGAGTGCCACCATGAGGCATTTGTTATTTTAAGTGAAACGTAGAATACAAAGCTACAAAATTCGAGGTGCACACAATCATGCCCATTTCAGGATAAATTTACCCATGTCAAAATCCCGCCCCTCCAACGTGTAGCGGCAGACTGGCCAATCCTAGCATTGGCCAGACGTCCTCCGATGGATAATAGCAATGTGGATTACACAGTGCCAGTGCGAACTTAACAGACCATCAGCAGGTCAACACTATGGATTTCATACTTGGGACAAAATAAGACAAAAATAATACCATTCCCGTCAGCTGTAGGCCACAACCTAATCACCAAACTAGGGCTGTGAACATGGTAACCAGTATTTGTGCAGCATGTCAACATGGTTATTGTGGACATTTTAGCATTTAGTGGAGAACGCCAGTGTGCCAAAGTACCGTCTCAGACTGCTGCCGAGAAACTGAAGGCTCTTAGTTTTCTTGCAAACAAAATTCGGATTAAATGTCCACTGCGTCAGTGTTCTGAGGATACTTGATCAACTGCTCATTTGTTGCCAGGCATCCCCGAGTTATGACACATACATTTACTTGATATCTGTAGTCTAATGTTGCGGCCCATTACCAGTAGTTATTAGGCAATCATTTAAATGGGCCATTGGCATTCCTCATCCCATAATAAACTTTCTGTTGCAGTGGCAACGACAATTACTGTATCAATAGTGAAGAAATAAATAAAATAAACTATTATACTCGTATAAGGATATTATGATCCATATGTGCACTAATGAAAAGAATGGAGCTTTACAATAAAAGGCTCAGATTTCAAACTTTCTGTGCAGCTTGTAATTTGTCTGAGGCTTCGTGACAAGCAAAGAAAAGGAAAAGGAAAAGAATTCCTGGCAGCAGCTTGATATACCATACTGATGGGAAAAAGGCCTGTTGTTCATCCAAATTGTGTGATTCACAGCTGTATGGGGATAGGCTCCCTCCACTGGTAGCATACACCTACAGTGTAAGTGTAAATGAAGCCCAAACTGCTGAATCAGCCTCACAAAAGCTTCACAGCACACTAGAAATGCTGCCAGGATGCCTCTGCCTGGATCAGCGAGCAGAAAACTTGACATGCCGAGCCAGAAATAGACACTGTTTGGTCCGTTCTTTCGTTCCAGAGATTTCAAACCTGGCATATTTCGGGCCGACTCAGGAATTTAGCATACTAGAGCTTTTCAATGTCCGATCCCTTGCCAGGCTTTACAACAGTCTCCTGTTCATACCAAAACCCTGCTAAGGAGCCGCCGCGTGGAGCCAAAACCAACGAGGACAGATAAGATTTGGCTGTTTGATGTGGTTTAAGGAAATCCCTGAGAAACTTAAAGAGCTAACATACTAAGAATTCAATATGCGCTGTGGTTTTGTTTTTGGTGTAACAGGAAAGCACTTATGGACTGAGTGGCCTGAGAAGACAAAGGCTCACCACAGCGCAGCATGAGCAACGCGATCAACAAGCTGACAACATCAACATCGCATGCAACAACATCGGGTCTTTTGACTTTAACGTATATTTTATATCTTTGTACGGTTTATTTTTCCATGGACTACATCTTTTAGAGCAATGTTTATTACTGATCACTGTCCCTGTTATAGGAAAAGATAAATAGGCTACATGTGTGAACACTAAATATGAAGCTATGGCCCGAGAGTCTCACGCCACAGCTAATGTTATCCAGCACTGCAGAAACAAAGGGAAACTGTCCACAGGTAACCAGCACCAATCGAGAAATCAAATCTTGTTTGATGTAAAAAATCCAAGGTGCAATTACAACATTTTACATCATCATGCACAATATATTGAGTTGAGTTTACCCCTAAGTGTTATAAAAGTGATGCACATGCTTTATGGGGGATGAAAACGTGCTGATGATGAAGTTCTTTTAACATATATAACATTTTTTAAGTTTGAAAAGTTTGGAGAACAAGTGTACCTTTACAGAATACAACGTGAACAGGGTATATAAAATATCCTGCATCTATCTTAAATAACCGTCCGCTATTATAAATATAGTAAATACATTGGAAACCCGTCCGGCTTAAAGTACCTTGCAAATGCTTATGTGAGGTATATCAATTCCAGATTATATCCTTTTGTCTTTCCCAGCAGAGACTGCAGCTATCGCATCTCTTAGTGTGCACCATGCAGCAGAGCCGGACTACTTCAGCTTTGTTGAATCTGTCCGGCCAGGAGCCCCTGCCACACCGTTCCCCCCAAACCCTGTGTACGTAGCCCTAGTTTCAGCAACTGTAGGATTATGGTCCTGTGAACCTGGGTCAGGACCTCAGCAGATGTGGAGCTGCAAATCGCAGCACGTTGAATGCGTTTGCTTTGATATTGGCAGACTGTACAGTTTACAAAGAATTGTTTTCTGGTAGTGTGTCGGTCTCGGGGTAATAGATTTTCTGCTGCGTCTTAATCTTCAGCAAGACACAAAAAACAAAAAACGTACACCTCCCATTTTTCAGCAGAGCTGGGCTGTATGTATTATGACAGGTTACCATGGGTTTCTGAGATAGTTCGGTTGGGAAATATATAAAGATATGATCAGCAGCTCAGCAGAGGAGCATCAAATAGCCCACTGCACGGCGTCTGTGGTACACCCTTTTTATTTTCACAATCATCCGGCTTTTCCTCAATATGTAATAGTATAAAATGAACCCGTTATGTTCTCCTGGCGTGAGTCTTGGCCCTTTGGGGAAAAGCTCTTCCTGCAGACTGGATGTATGCATGAATTAGTTCTATATGTAGGGAGGAACCATTTCTAAAACAGAGTCTGGAAACGTAGCCCTTGGTCATATCCTTCATCACATCATCCTTGTTTGAAAGCGTGGAAGGAAGAAAAGAGGTGGCAAGGAGGGAGGAAGCAGATTAGTCTCTCTCTCTCTCCCAGTCTATAAGATAATTATCTACAGCTGCCATGCAACCTTGTTTTTTTATACATCCATATTTCATGAGTTGGGTCCCAGCGCTGGAAATTATATCTGAGTGTTGGCTTTTTGGCACAGGGGCAGACCGACAGAAACACTGACAGAAACCGTGACGAAGTGTAAAGTAAAAATCAACACATATCTTCAATATTACCAGGGAACAGTCACATCCTTATCGTCACTGAAGGCCTCAAGTCAGGCTGTAGTTGCAATATGCGCGATCTTATGATGAAAGGGCCAATTTCAAGTGTAGCTGCATGAATTTGAGCATATAAATCTATATTAGATATATAAATGTTAGGGCAGCCAATAGAAAATCTATTCCTTAATGGCAGAGCTCTGAGTGAACGGCCGCTCTCTATCAGTGTTTGAGAAGCCCAGTGCTGCTGCTGATGAGGAAGGCAGCATCTCGATTGTCGGCTGATGACTTCAGAGTAGCTGTTCTTCCTGTGGTTGTCAAACACGGGTGCAGAGCCACCGAAGACCTGCCGCACTTCCACCTTCACTTCTTCCCCGTATACACACTCCTGCACCCATAGCTCAAGGCTTGTCGGCCCATGCTTTCATCTCATCTATCTTCGGACCCTTCCACTTCCCATTAAGGAGGGGAGGTGAGCGGTGCAGGGCTGATTTTGAGAGCTAAGGCTTTTCATGACTTCTTCCCTTTCAAAACAAAAGATTATTAAATTAATGTGTGCTATACAAATCTCCCCCTTTGCTGACCCCGGGAGAGGAGTGAAGATCAAAGACATCTTTTCCTCTTATAGGGCAGTGGAGCTGAAGTCGTACGCAGACCGACTCACGGGTTTCAGTGGAGGGTTACTTACAGGCCATAAGCCTGTAGAAGGAGAGAGGCAGACATCTAAGCATTCCACTTCAGTGGGACAAAGTGGCTGCTGCAAATCTCATCAAGCACTGCGCTTTCTTTTTACAAGTGTGCAGCGGCGCAGCATTGGGACAAAGGGGTAGTATGTAGCATTCTTACCATTTACCTAATACACCCATATGTTTGGGCTGTGTCAGACCACAAGTTTGTGATAGGTAGTTCTTACTTACGCTAAAACAATGTTAAACAGATTGCAACGCCTGGCGTCAAAGCATAATGAATTCCTTTAGTCATCTACTGTCACTTTGGTAAATCTGAACTAACCTTTTAGAACACCCAAAGTCACAGAATAACACATCGAAGGAGGCCAGGGTAGACCAACGACTACTGGTTATGTCCAGGGTGTCTTGTGGCTTTGAAAAGAGTTGCAGATAGCAGCTTCCGGTCCACATTGGAAAAGGTTGTTTGACGACATGGTGAAGTGGGTAAAGTATTCTAAATGTAGCGTATACACACACACTGATGTTTGTGTCAACAGCCCAACAGTGCTTTGCTCGTGCGCTGTTACTTGTGTCAGTTTCTACTAATTCCATGTGCATACTCTGACCACTTCCTACATCCCCACTATACTATCCCTTTAATGGGAGAATTTTGTGTCTGAGTTTGAGAAGATGAGCACCTTTTTTCTAAAATGTATCCCGCCCAAAGAAAATCCCGACTGTACTAGTTTGAAAGGGCTTCAAATATTCAAATAAGCCTTTTTAAAAATATTGAAATGGGGTTACGCTTGTAATACGCGCTGAGATTTGTATGTCTCGCTTGTGAAAACCCTTGTTTCATCGTTCGTGTCTTTTTTATATTTGTCTTTGTCGCGGTTGGTGCCATTGTGTGAAGGCAAGTGATTGTTGTTTATGTGGTTGGCAATAAGACTACAGGACGAAGTGATCCGAAGTTTTTAGAGAAAGAGACTTAACACACATGATCGATCGTGCTTGGCAAAACCACTGTACATTAATCTGGCTGCAGCGACCTCTGAGGAAACATTTGAGGGGTAAAGTGTAATTTTGATTCTTACCATCGGACCAGCAGGCCGTGCTCCAGAAAGTTCTTGAGGTTGGGCAGCGTCTGCTGCAGGTCCGGGGTGGTCAGGCCGTGTTGATATCTCAGCTGCAAGGCAAAGGGAACACACAGCGTGTCATTAACCTCAAACAACCTCCTGCGTGCTGCCTCCTTCAGCTCAATTCATATAATGTGCGGCAGGCTGGCGCTGCAGCCAATCACACGGACAGTTTGCACATTCTCTGTGTTAGGGCGGCGCTAAGAGATGAAAGAAATAGGTCTAAAGCAGACATTCTTTTGCCATGACACGTTTCTACTCCCCCCCCCCCCACATCGGACCATTACTCATGAGGACACACAATGGGCATCCTTCCCTGATAACAGGCGTGCACACTAATATGTAAGGTGTGTGGAAAGACAGGGGATGAGCTGCGGGTTGCGAAAAAAAAGGAAAAACATAACTGGCTGTTAAAACATCTGGACGAAATGGTGCAGAGAGACAGAGAGAGAAACGCTGGTACATTCTCCCATGATCGCTCCCTCGATCGGCTGTGAATCCACATCCAAGTTTGGGCCTTGAATGTTCCCTCCCTTGTACCAAAGGGCTTTATTTTATGATGATCATCACGACTATTAAATGAAGTGAAGAAAAAAAAAAAAAACAACAAGGCCACCTTGAAACACCAACTCTCTGTGCCAGAAATATCTCCAACAGTTGAGCGATGTCACAGCGAGGCAGCTCTCGTCCCGTGGAGTTTATTTAACCTATATTACTGAACAGCAGAGGAGCATCACGCGGCGCGCCCTGTGTCTATTTCTAAGGCCCCTCCGTCTGTCTGTCTGACACGCACACACACACACACACACACACACACACACACACACGCACACACGCACGCACGCACGCACGCACGCACGCACGCACGCACGCACGCACGCTGACATCTGTTTTGTTTCCACTCAGGAACCACAGCAACCACTCGGCTTGCTTTTCTTTTTAACACACACTTCTGATGAAGAGATTCAGCGCACACGAGTCCGACACATCACTCACCAGGGATAACGGCTTCTTCGTGCAAGAGCACATAATGAATGAGTGACATGATAGAAAAGGAATTAGAGAAATACATCTTTGAGGCTCTGAGGGGCAAAGGTGACATTTCCCTGTTTTTAGAGTAACAGTTTAGGGCGAGACAAATGGTTTTCGGGGTATCAGAAGCCCTCAAAACGCATCAATACCCGTTTCCTTGTGGTAATTTCTGTGATATTTATTCAGAGTTTTGCTGTAGAGGCTCTGGTAAGGCTGCACTAATAGCGTGAGGTGTGGCATAAGATGGAGCACTCAAAGGAAACATGTGCGTGCGTGTCAATCTTGTACTCAACATCTGAAAAGCTGCCAGAATGAGGAGCAAACTGGAATAAATCTACAGTGCGGTGTGTGCGCGCGACATGTAGGGTTCAAGTATTATAAAATGTCATTGTGAAACATGTGGATGAACAACAAAATGTTGTAGTAGCCCATTTTGTGCAAGGAAAACATGACAAAACAAAAAGTGCATTCCCGCAGTGCTTCAGGGGGAACGTAAGAAACCGCAACAAAGACTATTCTCTGTTGAGATCAACATCTTCACATTGGATGTCAACTTCCAATACTTGCACCAAGCAATGTTGATGTGAACACAGAGACCCTCTCTTCTCGTCCCACCAGTATGAAGGTTGGAGCCAGGTGTCTGAAGATGTGACCTCCCTATCCATCTTATCCTCCTGCGACTGGACATCAGATAGTCAGAAGCAGGCTGGGTGGTGGTCCTGGTGTGTTTGCGTAGCTTCCACTCTGGCTCTCCTCCCTGCATTTGGCCTGGTTCTGGTTTAGGGGGGTCAGCTGGAGGCTGTGATTGGGGGGGAAAAGGCCGTGGCACATTTTCTTATTCCAGAACCGCGCCAGTAATAATTCAGTTTTGACAAGTGCCAAAGTGTTTACCACGACTGTATCAATTTTCCAGTGTATCTGCGTGTGTGTATGTTTGTGTGTGGCCGTGCTCTGCCCTAAAATGGACAGTCATGACAGTATCGGAGGAGGATTTCATCAGAAGGAGCTCAGATGAGTGTCGACATGAAATACCAGATGGGGATGGAATGGTCCAGCGTAAACCATCGAGGTCGCCCTCAATGATAAAGATCAATAACAGTTTTGAAAAAGAGGAGAGCAATACTACGCTGGAGTAGGAGTGGGTGTGGGGGGCTGGTTTTGTGGCTATATGCAAAAAAAGGAAAATCCCAATCTCAAGCATTTCTCAAGGTAACGCTCTAAAAAGTATGATTCAGAAATTGGGAACCAGATATAAGCAGAGCTTAAATATTCAGCAAAGGTAAACAGCGTTTACTGGACATGCTGTATGCCTTTTCATCTGATTCTCACTGGGAAGGCGAAACAAAATGTACATATATAAATTCCATTACTCGCCTTGTGCCACAATACGTGTGTAATTCCCCACAGTGTGTGTGTCTGGCAGGAAACCCCATGTCACATTACACGGCTGTATGTCTGAGAGAGAGTGCGCATGGGAGGCAGAGAGAGAGTGTACCTCCTATTGTTTCACTCATGAGAAAAGATGTTACCGAGCCTGCAGCATACATCCAAAATGAATATAGGTGAAGACAGCAGAGTGATGCAGAGTGATGGGACAGCAGAGTGATCATTGACTTCATTAATATGGGGGATTTAAATAATACGAGTTCAGGACTCTTTATGATGAATTAGAATAAAGGCCTGTGTGTGTGCCCCCCACTCGGGCTCATGCCAAATCTCTGCCAGTTGGGACCTGCAACACCCGAGCTAAGTGTCTGGTTGGCAGCGGTGCAGGTGTCTCTGCGATGACTTTTGTTAAACATATGCACACAGTTTGGGGTAGTGCAGCCCTCAGCCTGCCAGACTCCATTAATATCAATAATCTTGCATGCAGGGTGGAAACACGGTTGAGTGGGTACATCCACTGTAGCAGTGGCCATTGGGAGTGTGTTGGAGCGGATATGAGGTAATGTCATGTGATTCACATGAGGTGGAAAACAACTATTTCTTTCACACAAAGGGAATAGAAGCTGAGACTTGGAATTGAATGTATCCCTATTAGCGGTTGATTATAAAACTCAAGGCAAAGTATTACAGAAGAGACGAAAAAAAAAAAATTTAAAACATGAGCCGGGCCATTGCTTTAAAAGCGTTTTCCATATGTTGTGATGTACAGTGCTCCCGGAAAGTATTCACAGCGCTTCACTTTTTCCACATTTTGTTGTGTTACAGCCTTATTCCAAAATGGATTAAATTCATTATTTTCCTCAACATTCTACACACAACCACCCATAATGACAAAGTGAAAACTGTTTTTTGCAAATTTTTGCAAATTTGTTAAAAATAACAAAAACATAACCCCCTACACATAAGTAGTCACAGCCTTTGCCATGACACTCAAAATTTAGCTCAGGTGCATCCTGTTTCCACTGATCATCCTCGAGATGTTTCTACAACTTGATTGAATCCACCTGTGCTAAATTCAGTTGATTGGAGGTGATTGAGAAAGGCACACACCTGTCTATATAAAAGGTATCACAGTTGACAGTGCATATCAGAGCATAAACCAAGCCATGAAGTCCAAGGACAGAATTGTATCGAGGCACAGATCAAGGGTACAGGAAGATTTCTGTAGCATTGAAAGTCCCAATGAGCACAGTGGCCTCCATCATCCGGAAATGGAAGAAGTTTGGAACCACCAGGACTCTTCCTAGAGTTGGCCGCCCAGCCAGACTGAGCGATCGGGGGAGAAGGGCCTTAGTCAGGGAGGTGACCAGGAACCCGATGGTCACTCTGACAGAGCTCCAGCGTTGTTCGATGAAGAGAGGAGAACCTTCCAGAAGGACAACCATCTCTGCAGCACTCCACAAATCAGGACTGTTTGGTAGCGTGGCCAGACGGAAGCCACTCCTCAGTAAAAAGCACATGACTGCCCGCCTGGAGACCATGAGAAACAAAATTCTCTGATGAAACAAAGATTGAACTCTTTGGCCTGAATGCCAAGCGTCATGTCTGGAGGAAACCAGGCACTTCTCATCACCTGGCCAACACCATCCCTACAGTGAAGCACGGTGGTGGCAGCATCATGCTGTGGGGATGTTTTTCAGCGGGAGGAACTGGGAGACTAGTCAGGATTGAGGGAAAGATGAATGCAGCAATGTACAGAGACATCCTCGATGAAAACATGCTCCAAAGTGCTCTGGACCTCAGACTGGGGCGACGTTTCATCTTCCAACAAGACAACGACCCGAAGCACACAGCCAAGATAACAAAGGAGTGGCTTCGGCACAACTCTGTGAATGTTCTTGAGGTGTCCAGGCAGAGCCCTGACTTGAACCCGATTGAAGATCTCTGGAGAGATCTGAAAATGGCTGTGCACCGACGCTCCCCATCCAACCTGACGGAACGTGAGACGTTGTGCAAAGAAGAATGGGAGAAACTTTCCAGAAATAGATGTGCCACGCTTGAGGAATCATACCCAAGAAGACTTGAGGCTGTAATTGCTGCCAAAGGTGCTTCAACAAAGTATTGAGCAAAGGCTGTGAATACTTATGTACATGTTATGTTTTCGTTCTTTATTTTAACAGATTTGCAAAAAACAGTTTTCACTTTGTCATTATGGGTTGTTGTGTGCAGAATGTTGAGGAAAATAATGAATTTAATCCATTTTGGAATAAGGCTGTAACATAACAATGTGGAAAAAGTGAAGCGCTGTGAATAATTTCCGGATGCACTGTATGTAAATGAACACCGTTAGCTGTCTTTTAGGAGCAAATTGTTTAAACTCTTTGTATAGGAATGATTATGTCCCCAGCTTTTTGATCACTCTATCCGTGATCACTAAGTGGTTTACGCTGTAACTTCTGAGCTAGCCATCCAGTGAGGTGAGAAATCTTTTGCAAACACGGCAACGAGAGACAACCTCTGCAGGGTCGTAATTCAACAGCTTCAGACCAGATCACACAAATGGCTCCGAATGGATCCACCTGAGACAGCTTGTCATTCTTCGTTTCCCTTCCATACGTCACCGTGATGAATG